ACTTTCAGCCGCCATTTTGGATAAATTTTGTCCATAGATGGCAGCACCGCCGCCATCGGCCTTTTTGAGTGGAGGCGCAATGAAGTATTGGTCTTCAAAATCTGACTGTCAAATTGGCATTTCTTGGAATACAAAAACAAGCGATTTAAGAAATGTCATTTATCGTTTTGTATGTGAATTGATTGCTGTAAAATTGGTGAAAAGATGAAAATCTGTGTATGAAAATCTGTGTGTTTGTTGTTGCTGTGAAAAGAAATGTAAGTGAATTTTCATTGTTGATTTCTGCCATCGATGAAGGTATTTTGAAATTTTGTATTCAATGTTTCATTTTCAACAATCCCATCAATTTCGAAAGACTAATCAAAATCTATTCACGGTTTCAGTGCATTGCATCAGCCAGTTTGGAAATGATTTTCGTCCGGATTATAAATTTTTAGGTGCATTAAAGACAATGTTCCCCGATATACCATTTCTTGGTGTAACGGCAACGGCCACGACCAAAGTCATTCTTGACATACAGAAAATGTTGAATTTGCAACAGCCAGTCGTGTTGAAAGCGGAATTCAATCGACCCAATCTATATTATCACGTATGTTTGTGCACATTTTGCCGTGACAATTAATCATTTTTTCTGAAGAATTTCCTCTCAAACATTCATTATTTAAGGAATAATAACAATTTTCCCCATTTTAGGTGATGGATAAACCAGACGAAAAGAAGCAATGTATTGAGCTGTTAGTTGATCTTCTGACCAACCGATATGCTGGTAAATCGGGCATAATTTATGCGTTTTCAATTGCCGACACCGAAGAAATCGCTTCCGAATTAACAAAAAGAAATCTAAATGTTCGATAACAATAGTGCATCAAAAATGGCTGTCGGGGGAGATCCAGTGCGTAATTGCAACGGTTGCATTTGGAATGTGAGTTGTTGTTGTTTTTCTCTCGTCCAAATCTAGTTTCTTTTATCACTTCAAAAATTCTAAAATTAACATTATCCACGGTTTGATAAAATGTCGATTATTTTCAGGGGCATTGACAAGCCAAATGTCCGTTTTGTTATTCATCACACAATGAGCAAAAGCATGGAAAATTACTATCAAGAAAGTGGACGAGCTGGCCGAGATGGGAAGAGAGCCGAATGCATACTGATGTACCGAAGTGCAGATATCGCGAGAATTACAACAATGGTATTCACCGAACACACTGGCCTAAGCAATGCCTATCAAATGATCCAATTCTGTATCGATGGCATCAGCTGTAGACGTGATCTCATCAGTAGACATTTTATGGATGTGTGGAGTAGTTCGGCTGTATGCAACCGAATGTGTGACCGATGCAATCACCAAAATAGCATAAAGCCACTGAAAATGAACATCACCGAACACTGTCTAGCCCTGTACAAAATC